GAAAATATACCCAGTAAATCTTGCTAATTCCTGCGACTTTCTTCTTCTGTCTCTTCTTATTCTGTCTCTTTATTAATCCCAATGCTAAACTCATCCAACACCCTCATAACAAATATTTTGTAGAATTTGCAAAAGAAATCATATGCAGAGAGGTTTGTTATAGGGCGTGTCCATAGCCTTACACCAATTCACCTTGCTCTCCAGACCTTCCTTTGTCCCCAAATGATATTCTTCTTCTGCCACTCCCAGACACACTCAACTCCTCTGAGTTTCTTCTTCTACACCAAGAGGACATGCTGAGGAATTTTTCCAACATCTAGTCTCCCTCTAGGAGGAAACTTACCAACAAAAATTTGTCTAGTTTAATAAAGAAGCAATACTTATCAAACTTTTTTAAAGTATGAAATTCTAATACTCTACAATATATCATCCTGAAATTTGTAGAAATGCAAAGATAAATCATGGAGGAAAGCAGCTTGTAAAAAAGTTACAGTTTAGGCATTTGATGTGATGAAAAATTTTAGAATCTATTGAAAAGTGTTATGAAAGGGAATGAGAAATGGCAATTTAGAGGACAGTGAAAAATTACATACAATGGAAAGGAATCAGGAAAGCTTCCTGGAAGAGGAAGCTCATCATCTGGTCTTTGATAGGAGTGGTAAAACCATGGGCAGAAATCAGTAGAAGGGTGGTCCTAGTGTGGGAGCAACATGAACAAAGATGAAGTGGGGCCCAGGGTGGGGAAAGATTCCACCAGGTGTTTCAATCTTCCTGGTCCATAAAGTACGTATTGTGGGTACATTACCGTTGTGGGTAATGTCAGGGGCAGAGAATCACTTTTTAACTTGAATGCCAAGGTTAGGAATCTGATTTTTTTTTTATTCTGTGGACACTGGCAAGACTAGAACGAGCATTTTACCACATTAAAAGAGTAATTTCTATTTCATTTTAATAATGTATTTATAATCAGGAAATTATTTCTGCACACAATTGGCTAAGCTTTGTTGGTTCTATGACTATGCATTTTTTGTCAATAAAGAATTGTATCAGCTGGGTGCAGTGGCTCACACCTGTAATCCCAGCACTTTGGGATGCTGAGCCATGCAGATCAGAAGGTCAGGAGATTGAGCCCACATGGTGAAACCCCACCCACCTCTACTAAAATACAAAAAAAAAAAAAAATTAGCCAGGCATGTAGTCCCAGCTACTCAGGGAGCTGAGGCAGAGGAATTGCTTCAATCTAGGAGACAGAGGTTGCAGTGAACCAAGGTCATGCCACTGCACTCCAGTCTGGCTACAGAGCAAGACTCTGTCTTAAAAAAAAAAGAATTGTACCAATTAAACATAATCTTCAGCATTTTACCTGCTATTTATATATTGTCACTGTAGTTTTAGTTTCCAAAACATCCTTTAGAGTTTCAAATTCAAGAAAAGATGTTAGTATCTAAGTCATACTGTGTAAAAATGGCTTGTTTAAGAAGATCTTGAAGTTTTTGGGTTTTTTTATTTCCTTTTTAAGTTTTTAATAAAAGCATTGCACTAAGTAATAATGATAATTAAGACTCCATCTTTGACTCTTAAGACATACCAGGCCCTGCCTGACTCTGGACATGAACTAGATACTTTTCTGTCCCACTGATAAATGGAAATTCCCTATAGTCCTGACTTATACATTTAATGATTATATAAAGAGTCTTGGGTTTTATAGAGGTGGATATAAAGATTTTATCTTGAGTATTCAAATTAATAAATTTAAAGTACATTTTCTTATTTATTTTCCATATCAACCATGGGATAATAAATGTATAGACTGCAAATTGCAACACCAAGTTAATGTGTATATCTCCATCAGTCTCATGCAAGTCACTTTTCTAAAATACACTTAATTACAAATGCATTTGGGTATTTCGGGCTCAGTTATTTAATTATACTGAATACATTAAGCTATGACTATACGCACGCGTAATAACAATGTCCAAGCACTTAGTTTTGTTTTAATGACCACTGGGAATTACCAAATCAGTGTTTAAGATATAATAGCAAGAATATAAAATTATTCCTTCAGAATAATTAGAGGAGAAGACAACTCTAACCTGTATGAATCTAAATTATGAATTTTTAAAAATTTTTTGTAATTTTCTAGACAAGAAAAAAATGCATTTTACATTTATTATTTAGTTATCAGAAATAAAATAGGCAAGAAGGAAAAGCACTATGCAAAGTATTTTTGCTTAACGGTATCAAAGTATTGCTTTAAGAAAGAATGTTGGACAACAGTATCACTCTTTTATTCCACCCTGGATTTATATACCTACAGCTCTAATGTTTAGTGGTAGTGTTTATGAAATTATTCTTATAGGATATGTAACCTGACAATTAGGAAAGCATTTGATTAAGCTCTTCACATTCCATTCTTACTTATTATGTTCATTTAGATGCATTTGTCAATTTATAATTGCAGTTAATTAAAATTTTTTAAATTTTCTTTTTTTTTTTAAAGGAGCCCGCTACATGAAAAAAAATGCAAGTCAAAGTGGTCACAACCTAGAAGTCTGCAGAGACAGGAATAACTAGCAAGTAGATACTGTTATTTTACTATGCTTGAGTATATAGAATTCAATAGTGTTATGGGAATTTTACTCTAAATGACCAAATAGTCTTGTAATTTTAAATTTATACTTAGCAGTTTTCATGTTAACCTATATCACATCAGGAAAATAATTAGGAAGCAACAAAGTAACTACAAATCTTAGGAAACTCCTTTTCTGTCAGTAATAAAATTCCATTCATAGGAAACGTGAACTTAATTATTGTATCCTCTCTCAGATCTTAATTTTAGAGCCCCTAATTCAATACTTATTCCATCATAAAAAGAGTAAATGATTTGCCCTATGTCTTGTGACATATTTATCCACTATGTAAATGCATTGATTCCTCTCATAAGCCATTAATAATTATTATATAATAATGCTTTTAAGAAATAAAGTGAAATTATATTCCTTTTTGAAGGTTACATTTCAAAAATTCAAGGTGATATCAAATGAAATCTAGGCACAAAGCAGGAGCTTTGCATTTATCAGTATTTTCTGACATTTTCAAGAAATGAAATTGGAGGTTCAATGATAAAAGCATGCAATGTTTAGATAAATGGATAAAAAATGAACTTAAGAATGTGGGAAAAGTAAATAAGATTATTTGAATAGCTAGGAGAATCTTTGAAAATCTCATTGCTCCATATTAAAGTGGTCAGAGTTGATTCTTTCTCCACAAATGTATTTTAAAGATTGTAATAGAATCAGAAAATATTAAAGCTGAAAGGATTTTAGAAAGTATTTACATGAATATTTCATTGGTATGGAGAAGGGAACTAAGTTTACAATTAAAAATGGATTTTACATGTATATCTACATATATACATACTTTTTTTCGAGATAGAACTTAATACAGCTAGTTCTTAATTTAATAGGACTTATTCAGTAGTAAGGATGATCAAAATATACATTTGAACAAAAATGATGGCAGTATCCATAATCAAAATAGTGGTCATAAATGTTTTATAATTAAATATTTATAGTAGTAGATTTTTCTATAACCACAGAAAATGTGTAAAATTGTGTTTCAAATGCTTAACATTACAGATTCCAAAAGCATTATATAAACCAACAGAAGTTTCTTCCTTTTCACTCTTCTCTGACAGCTTTATGAATGACAGGTCATGAATGATAAATACGTCTCAGATAAATTCTACAAAATATTTATACAATTGGAACCACACATTTTGATAAGAAGAATACTAAGCAATGACGCAATAGAAATGAAAAACATTTTTATAATGAAAATTATTAGCTTTTAGTGTATTTGGTTTATAAAATTAGACTCTTTATCTGAGATTGCCATAAAGTGATACATGCTTATCCTATGAGGGGGTGGAAAGGAAACACCTTCAGAATTCAAAGTTCAGTTGGGCCAACTTCATGCTGAAGGAGGGGAAATTGTAAAACTGCATTTATTGATACCTTGGTAATAGCCGATATCAGTTTTAGCTCAGAAGGAACTCTAGAAGGCCATAATTAAAAATATTTGTAGAATTTAAAAACAGGATTAAGAGGAAGGGAAGGGGAAGGAAAGATAGAAAGAAAGAGGAAGGAAGGAAAGAAGGTAGGAAGGAAGAAGGAAAGAGCGAGCTGGGCATGGTAGCTCACACCTGTAATCCCAGAACTTTGGGAGGCTGAGGTGGGTGGATCACAAAGTCAGGGGTTCGAGACCAGCCTGACCAACATGGTGAAACCCCATCTCTACTTAAAAAGAGAAAAATTAGCTGGGTGTGGTGGCGCACACCTGTAGTCCCATCTACTTAGGAGACTGAGGCAGGAGAATTGCTCGAAACCAGGGAGGCAGAGGTTATGGTGATCCGATAGCATGCCATTGCCCTCTAGCCTGGGCAACAGAGTGAAACTCTGTCTCAAAAAAAAAAAAAAGAAAGAAGGAAGGGAAGGGAGAAAAGGAGGGAGGAAGGGAGGAAGGAAGGAGAGAGAGAGAGAGAAAAGAAAGTAGAGAAAGAAAGGAAAAGAGAGGGACAGAGGGAAGGAGGAAAGAAGGAAGGAAAGGGAGAGAGGGAGGGAGGAGGAAGGAAGGAGGGAAGGAAGGAAGGAAAGGGAGAGAGGGAGGGAGGAGGAGGAAGGAAGGAAAGGGAGAGAGGGAGGGAGGAGGAGGAAGGAAGGAGGGAAGGAAGAAAGAAAGGAAAGGAAAGGAGAAAGGGAGGGAGGAGGAAGGATGGGAAGGAAGGAAGGAAGAAAGACAGGCTGGCTGGCTTGGTAGCAGGATGAGACTAGTGTGCAGGGAGGGAGTTTGGTGCTGGGAGACAAAGAAATCAATGGCTTGTAGTAAGCCAGGCTCAGGAATGTGGTTGCAGTAGAGACAAAGAAGAAGAACTTGATTTGAAAGAAATATCTTCTTTACCAAGTTCCATAGGAACTTGGTTTGTGATCCCATTATTTGAGACCTGAAACACTAAAAGAATAGCGGTTAACTTCAATAGAGGATATTAAAATGGTAACTTTGGTTTGGAACTTGACATTTGTCCTCCTGCATGGCAAAATAAGGGATGATCACAGGGATGGTGGAAATACAGAACTGGAGCTCTGGGATTGGATGAAGATGGGTTGATCTATTTGAATAGAGATGGTGATTGAAGTTGCCAGAATTTTGTCAGGCAAAAAACGTGTGCTGAGTGAAAGGAAACATTGCCACAGGTAGAATTTTTAGGATCATCAGTGTTCAACCACCAAAATTCTGTTTGAAGAAAGAGAAATTAGCCACAGAAACTGAAAGTTAGAAATAAGAGGAAAACTGATTTCCAGTGTCCTTGTTTTGTTTTTAAAAGAAACCAAAGAGGCAGAGAGATTCAAAGAGGTCAACAGTGTTAAATGCACCTGAAAATTTTAGGAGGAGACTGATCGAGGGAGAAAAAGCTTTTGGATATTACAATTACACAGTGATTAGGAACCCCAACAGAGCTAATCCAACTTTGGATGCCAAATGGTTTTTTGAATCCTCTTCAACATCTTTATTCTTTATCTCCTTCCTTTATCAATCCCAAAGATTCATTTATGTTTTTCAGATTTATCTATGGGTGGTTTTATTGTTGTAAATCACATTTACTTATTCTCAAAATATCATTCAGAATATCATTGTTATAAACACTTTAACTCTCCCCATAATTTGAATAGCAAATTCAATTTAATGTATATTAAAGAAGTGTTAGTATTGAGTAATCCCATCAAATATGCATGACTTATTATTATTTCCACCTAATAATCTCAAAAGTAATTTCCCACATTAGACTGACAAATATTATATTTGCCTCAGAAATAATTTCAGTTAGTACTTGGCACAAAGTAGATACTCATAAGTAATGTATGAATGAATGAATGAATGAATCAGTGCTTGCTCTCTTTAGATCATTTTGACATTCTTTTTGTTTTTAAGTACTCCCATATCATCTACTTGCAGAAAATACACTCTGAATTATCTATCTTGTAATCCTTAAACAAATAAGACTAAGAAGAAAATGAGATTATATAACACTTTCATGTGTGATCTTCCACCTGATTCTCATTAGTGCTATTTTTATTTTTCTTGACCTAGCATTATAGACTTAATTTTTATAATTGTAATCAGAGCATAATAACCACTAAATCTTTTTAAACTTTTTTGTTTAGAAAGAGATTATCCCTAAATCTTTGTATTGCATTATTTCTTTTTCTGTCTACAGTAAAAAATGACTTTATTGTTTTATTTCAGGTTATATAAATAATTCATGCTTATTGTAAAAATTTCAAATATAAAGTATAACGAAGAATGTAAAAATCACTTTTAAAATCACTCAAAGAATAACTACAATTAACGTTTACATTCTTTATGGGTTAATCATTTTATCATTATAAACTGTTGCTTTTTATCTCTAATAATGCATTTTGCTCTAAAAATTCACTCTTTGTGTTTTTAGCACAAACACTGCCAGCTCACATTTGGTTAATATTTGCATGTTTTTTCTTTGTGCAGCCTTCTTTCAACCTTCTGTTTCTTATATTTATGACCTCTTGTAAGCATCTTATAGTAGCCTTTATTTTAAAATTCTAATCTGATAGTATTGATATTTACTTGGATTATATAGTCTATTTACATTTATATTTATTAAAGTAAACTTGGGATTGTCTCTGTCATGTTACTATTTACTTTTTCTTTGACTCACCCACTTATATTTTTTTCTCTCTTTTATTGATTTCTTTTGGATTTTAAAATTAAAGATATACTTATTGTTATTCCATTTTTAATTTATTAATTTATTAAATATACATTCTTATACTGTTTTTATAGTGGTTGCTCTAGGGATTTTCCATTCATCCTCAACTTTTTACAGTCTAACATAAATAGTTACTACTAACAATTCCCTGATATTGCTAGAATCTTAGAAAATCTTAACTCCATCCTGTGCCATTAATAAGACATTTTTCACAGTTTTTTAAGGATTACTTTGAACATTTCTATTACTGTTTATATAGTCAATATCCACTTATATTTACTTGCACATTTACTTTTCCATTGTCATTCATTTCTTCTGCATAGCTGTGTTTCCAACTGAAAAAGTCATTTTAGGATTTCTTTTAGTGCTGGTGTGCTGGAAATAAACTTTCTGTTTTTATTTCTCTGAAAATTCTTGTATCTGTGTTTCTAAACTTTAGCTGGTTATAGAATTTCTTTCAGCACCAAAAATTTCTATCCATTGTCTTCTAGCTTTCATCCTTTCTGTTAGGAACAGTCATTAATCTTATTGTTGCTCCTTTGATAGTTGTTGGTTATATTTTTAAATTTTTTTTACATATGATAAAATACTCAACATAAAAGTTACCATCTAACCACTTTTAAGTTCAGTAGCATTAACTACATTCAGAGTGTTTTGCAGCCATTACCACCATCCATCTCCAGAACTCTTCAGAATAATCACGGAAACTTTTACATGTCGACTAGTATACACTAATGTATCCTTTCTTTTCTTTTTCTCAGAATTCTTTTTA